GGAGCCTCGCTGGAAAATCAACACCGGTTGCATAGTGTACCTTTAATAAATTCTTCACCATTAAACATTCTCTTTAAAATAACTGATAATAGTACGCTGTGCTGTCAGGTCCAAAGGAGAAAGACCCACTTTGGAGTAAAACCATAATCGGTCACAAGATACAATCAGAATCTTTAAATGCATTACCTGAAAGTAGAGGATAATAGTCCACATCAAACCAAGGACAATTGATGGCCGTCCATCTGCGATGTCAGTGGCATGAATATTGACCAGTTTAATCTGAGAACAAAAAAAAATTAAAAAAAGCCATTCATTTTCCGACCATTTGGAGAGAAACCCACAAAAATTCACACATACATTTTACGTGGTTTTTATATAGTGCAAAAACAGTGATGCAGGTCATCAAAGTCGAGCCTTTGATGCAGAGAAGTCATTGTAAGAGGCAGAAGCGAGGGTGCAAGGACAACCAGCTACAAAAGAAAATAAATAAAACAAAAACAGATGCACTACTCTATCTGCAAATATTTCTTTGTAGAGCAGCAAAAATTGATGAATTTAAATGTCTATGCTGGGGAAGCTAAACTGCAGCACAGAGCATACACTAGTTTTTTCTACTCAAAAATGCAGACTATTAGAAATATTTACTGCCTAAATGTATCAGTAGAACAGCTCTGTCCAGTTTGGCATCATACACCACATGCATTTGATGAAGAAAAATGCATACAGCATTGCATATGATAGCACAAGTGTTTAAAAGCAACTGACCGGTGATCCTCGATACACAGACTGAAAGCAAACATGATGAGAGAGAGATTACAACATAAGTCTCAGTCCTCAGGGAACCCATTTGAAGTAGGGCAGGAGGTTTACGGATGGGCTATGTAATAATGACTAACTGTCATGCTTCTGTGAACAAAGTGAATGCTTTGCAGAAAGATACACTATATGCTTCATAACTATACAATAAACATTCAGCTTTCTCAAGAGCTCTTAATGATTTCTATGGGGGGGAAAAATCTACATTAGTTTCTAGTAAGATATGGAGAAGGGATACTTTTATTTTAAAAGTGCTCAAATTTTTCTATGTTAATACTACAATAAAAGAAGACATGAAAGACTATTTGAAAGAGGCA